AGTTTTGGTAAGACTGCTCAGCAAATTCAAAAGCAGAACATTGGGGTAAAATATATTAAAAATGAGGTAGGTACGTCCCTCAACTACCCCTATCATTTCTCATAAAGGTGTGGCAAGAATCACTATCAAACTCCACTCATTGGACTGTGAAAGTCCTTGTGGCGTTAGCGAAAAATCCTGCCAAGATTGATGTAGCACAGTTCCTACACTCAGGAGTTCATTGGCCAGAAACTGACCTCAGCTCTGAGCTCTAACTATGTGCACACAACCCGTTTCCCCCCTCCAAAACTTATTGCTGCCTTCTATCAAAACACAGCAGTAAGCTTTGACTGCAAACTTTGAAAATCACACCCAGAAAATGCCTTTAAAAGGAAACCATGGATAGACATAAAGAGTATACACTACCTTGTTGTTGCATGGAATTGCAATATCCACATAGCGCAGGGGAGAATCGGTATTGCACAAGGCAATGGTAGGGATGTTTACATATGACGCTTCGGTCAGTGGCTGATGGTCAGCTCTTGGATCAGTGACTACCAAGAGGCGGGGCTCACGGAAGGCAGCCTGGATCTGATTGGTGAAAGTGCCAGGAGTGAAACGGCCAGCAATTGGTGTAGCTCCAGTTGCAGCAGCAAATTTCAGAACGGCACGCTACAGTGGGGAGATAATAAACAAGGCTGAAATGGTTGAATTTCTTCTACAATTTATGTTGCATTTTCAACAGAGGCCTGGCTTGCATGGTTATTTTGAGACAAGTGCTGACACATTTGGTTCCTCTTTTATTCAATTTACAGATCTGCAAAAATACTAGAGCCAGCCCTATCATGATACTATGTATTTTCCCGAGAAGCCACACAATTCGCATTCCTAGACATACTCCCATACCTGTCCAGTATTCCTGGAGGAGATAACGCTCACATCAGCCGGGTTCTCGATGGCAACAATGGCACGAGCAGCCAAAAGCAGCTTTTCCCACGTTCTCTTCAGATTGATAATGTAAATACCTACATAAAACGTAACAGTGCTTTAAATAATAGAAACTGGCAACTGGACGCTTGCTTCCAGACTGCAGTTGTTTGCACTCGTTCTTTCCCTCTTGTTAAAAAGATACAAGTGCATGAGAATGGAAAATGGCTCCAAAAAGACATGGGGAAGTACTGATTTCATCCTCTGGTTTGCCTTCATCTGGGAAGTGACGATTCAAAGGGATGTGCAAGTGGCATGAGGGTTCCTACACTTACTGCTTTGCCGTGGTTACACTTCAGAGGACAATTTTGCAGAAGGGGGTGCTTCCCTTCCCACTCATAGTGCCTCAACAGTAAATACAGAGTTGCATGTTTACAAAGTATTATTAAACATGTCCCTTCACTTTATCAAGCTTGGCATGGATGTGGCAGTGACTACTATCAAACTCCAGTCATAGAGCATAGCTCTCCTGGCGTTAGCGAAAATCCTGCCAGAGTTTACTGTAGCACACTTCCGACACTCAAGAGTTCATAGGCCAGAAACTGACCTCACCTCTGAGCTTTAATAGTGTGCAGTTAAAACCAAACATGTAGATCAAGCTGCCTGAAATATACTGAATCTTACTCAAGCCACCAAAGCTATTCTTTGTGACATGTCTCCATTATAAACATCAGAACACAAAGAAGTAAAACAAAGTACAAAAAACCTGTCCTGAAATGTAAAGAACCCCTAGGTGTCAGTTTACTCCTAGAGTACTGCAAGATAGGCCAGGACAAGGAACAGGGAACCTGTGACCCTTTCCACATGTTGTTAAAAGAGTCCTACTCCCATCAGCCCTAGCCAAAATGGCTAATAAACAGGGATGGTGGTAGTTGTAGCCTAGTAACATTTGGAGGGCCAGAAATTCCCATCCCTGGCCTAGACATGAAGAACAATTAACAAAAGCAATTCACTTATTTGAATAGGCAAGTTCAGCATGTGCATTCTTGGCAAGGAATAGGACTAAAGGAAGTGAAAGGCACTAAGCAGTAGTATATAGAATGAATATATAAATAACTGAATAGAAAAATGTAAAATCCAATACTGCTTTGCACTCATAAGCCACTGCTGAGACTAGCATCGCCACAAACAACAATTAAAAAATCACCCTGACATTCTACAAGATTCTTACCATCACTTTTTCTTTTATAAATGTACTGTTCCATCTGAAAGTCGAGATTGGTGCCTCCCAAGTGGGTTCCTGCAGCAAGGAATTTGAGGACATCTTCCTCCTTCATCTGCAGAACATCAAGACCTCCGGACATTGTGAAGTTTCCTTTTAAAGCAACGACAGGAAACCTAAAACAGAATCAGCTTATGTTAGTATGGGATAGGAACATCACTGTCAGGTCTCCATGCCAATCTATAAAATGGGAGCAATAGTGAACTACTGTCACTGCAGAGGCAAATATATGATTGCAAAGTCTTCTTCAATACAATGATAAAAACCCTGGGTTCTGCATGTGAGCATTTGTCCGCAGCACAGCATTTGGCGAAGCACACAAAAACACAGTTTACCTTCCCGCCGGAGCAGTACCTATTTATCTACTTGCACTTTGACGTGCTGTCAAACTGCTAGGAGGGCAGGAAAAAGATCTTAAATAGTGGCAATTGAAGAGGCAACATAATCACATTTCTGGCCTAAAACTGTCATCTAACAGCAGCCATTAGGCTGCAGCAGAGGCAGAGATTGGAAATAGGATCCCTGAATCAGCTTTGTTGGGCTTCTCCTCTCAGTTGTTTCCATTTATGCTGGTCATTTAAAGAACCTGGAAGCATGCAAACTTGGGTGATCCTATCATTGGTTTTATGCAACCTGCTCTGGGAACCTTTTTTGGCTGGAAGATCATAAAACTGCTTTAAATAAATAGGGCACCTTACAACAAACTGCAGCAATTCAAAATGAAAAATTGCAACATTTATGCTAAGCCTATTATATAAAATTAATTACTATTAAGCTATTGGTATGTTTGCATCAAAATTATGTTTTCTTTAAATGTTTTTAAAGGGTTTCAACCAGGAGGCTATTAAGCAACAAAAGCCCATGATTCTGCTGCCAAGCTCAAAATATACACAACCATCATATAAAAGCGACTATGGTCTCCAAATCAGGGGAAACCATTCAATGCCTGCAATGGAGTAAGATTTCTTAGAAAGGCCAAAGAAGACTACTCATCTGGGAGCTCTTTTTTTAAAAAAAATGGAAGCAGTTATTTTGAGGCAAATTAACATTTTCTCTGTGTTTTATTTACATTGTACAGTAGATGTTATTCCCAGACTCTGGAACTCCCTTCCTAGAGAACTTAAAACCCGCTCTCTCCTTGCAGTCTTTAGAGAGACCTTACTTCAACACGCTTTTGGGAACTGACTGTAATGAAAAGGCTGGTGCAGCGCCATTTTCGCTGTCCTTTTCAATATCGTGCATATACACGTAATGTGTGGTTGTGCTTTCTAACGATCGCCCCCCCCCGCACCTGTGTCCCTATTTTATCTGTAATCTGCCTCGAGTCCTGGGGGAGGGGGGGGGAGAATGGCAAGAAGCATCAAATTAACTACGTAACGACGTCAGGATTCAGAATTGCTTCAGCTAGAGGTGAAGCAAGGAGAGATCGCCGGCATCCATTACCTTTAGGCACCAAGGAAAAATTATTCCTATTCTCCATGACTTTTGGCTAACTGAACCATCCAGGGCCATTTAAACACTGTTATTGCTTTTGCTTGCAACGGATTTGTGTTCTATATATGTATTTGTGATATATATATTTATATTTGTGTTATGAAAGATAGATAGATAGATGATAGATAGATAGATACTGTAGATAGATATATTGCAAAGCGCTCTGCGGATGAAGGGCGGTACGGAAATCCAGTGATAGCAATGTATATATTCCTGATCTGGGTTAAACCCTCAGCACGGGTTGGGCTCGGGGCCTCTCAGGGCGCCCCCAAGGCTGCGTTATTCCGCTGCAGCTGCGAGGCCTCGAGCGAAGGGCCCACCAGCGGAAGGGGGACCAGCCCCGTCCTCTCCCCCCAAGGGCCCCCCACGCTGCCGCCCCGGCTCGGCTCCCTCTTCCTCCTCCGAAGACGCCTTTTCGCTCCCCCCCCCCGTTCCCCGCCCGCTTCCCCGCGCCAACTCACGCGGCTACAACGCCGTATGGAGGCCTCTCTGGGGTCGGAGAGAAAGAAGGCCGCGGCGCCTCGTGACGCCTATATATAGTCGGCCGGCCCGCCAATCGCGAGGCGCTTCCGCCGGGAAAGGGGTGGTGACGTCACGGACCCGGCGCCGGGGCGGGGGGAAGCGGGACGCGCCTGGAGGGAGGAGTTCGGCAACGCACGCGGCGCCGCCTCTCACTTCCGAGGTTCTGTTGGAGCGCCGCCATGTGCGGGGAAAGCGGAAGAGGGCGCGAGGCGTCGCTGAGCCATGCAGCTATTCACCCTCCGAAGCTTTTGCGCTCGTCGGTACCCTTTGCTGTTCGTAGGCAGCAGTCAAATCCACGCCCCACTTGCGCGCTGGAGGAAGAGGAGGCGGGGGGTTATAATTTAATTAAATTTTAATTTAATTTTAATTTTAAATTATATTACATTAAATTTAATTTTAAATTAATTTAATTTTAAGTTAAAATTATATTACATTAAATTTAATTTTAAATTAAGTCAAATTTTAAATTTTATTTTATTTTATTAAAACTCGAGAGCATATAGACTCACCAGGCCCAAGAGGATCCCAAAGTTTGCAGAAGGACAAAAAAGAAAAATTGCATGGGAGTCTAAACCAGTGTTTCCCAACCTTTTTTGGGCAAAGGCACACTTGTTTCATGAAAAAAATCTCGAGGCACACCACCATTACAGCCCCGTGACGTCAGCGCGCAGCGTCACGCCGGGAGGGACGCACGAAAGTGTAAGTTTCAATTTTTTCCCCTCCCCCTTGCCTTCCTTCTGTGCCAACCGCCAAAAAGCCAAGAAAAAAGCCAAGATTTAGGGCAGCAGGTCGACACGGAAGAAGCTCCTACCTAAGGACAGGTGCGACGGCCGTGTCCTCTTCTGCCACACTTGGCAGCCCTGCCTCACGGTCGTGACTCCCACCCTGATTTCTCCCCGCAGGTCGAGCGGCACAGGCAGCCCAATGTGTCCAGCCCAGACACAAGCCCCGCTTCCCCACTCTAGATCCTGAATGCGACCAAGTGCTCTGGACTCCCGAGCAGGGTGGGAAAGAGGACTCGCATCTGGTAGCCTCCGGGCTCCTCGCCTGCTCGAGGGATGGCATTGCAGGCAAGCTGCCGGCCCTCGCCATCGCCGCCCCCTCATGCGAGTGGACCTGCCCGGAGTGGTGGGCCGGGGGAGGCTCGCTCTCTGTAGGGATGTGGCCCGCACGCGCGGCCCTGCTTCCTCCTGCCCAGGGCTGAGCTCCTTACCCGCGATCTCGGTCTCGCGCACGCGGATCCCACTTATTCTGAAGCTCGCGCCACTAGCCGGGGCTCTCACACCGTGCCAGGGCGAGGCGGCGCGGCCCACTGACGTCATCGCGGCTCGCCGCCACCCTCGACTTCCCTGTTCCCTCCCCTCCCTCGGGTCGCCGTGGTTACCGAGGACTGCAAGCTGCTCGGGCGAGCGTGGGGCATTAAGTGGGAGAAGGAAAATTAAAATTAAAACTCACCTGAAGGCCGCCTCTCCGGATATCTTTCGAATTTTTTAATTTTTCCCGCGGCACACCAGGCAACGTCTCGCGGCACACTAGTGTGCCGCGGAACACCGGTTGGGAAACACTGGTCTAAACAATCCATGGAGGACTGAGCATGCTCAGTGGCCACAGAATGCTGACTTGGGCGGGGAGCGGAATGGAGTATCCTGGAAGAAGGCATGAGCAGCTGCTCAAGCCCTGAGCAGCATCCATGAGAAACGTTTTGTTGTAAGTCCCCCTTGCATATTTTGTATCTCTGGTTTAGCAAAAGCACTGAGGCGCGTGGAGTACCAGTACCAGGCTGTGAGTGGCAGCAGAGGCCACTTGTTCGCCTTCCCAATATTTACCGTTTCTTCTTCTCCCTTCTTCCACATCATTAAGGAACAGCCTGGAATAAAAGGAGCTGGCCTTTTTTGGTAGGCAGATAAGACTGCAATCCTACAGCAAGCAAGTCGTATTGAAGTCATAGATTGTGTGTGGGCAAATATAATGACATTTGGAAAGCATTTATAAAAATAAATAAATGTATATCCATTAGAATAATTTCACTTACATATGTTTGTATTTGAGAGGTATGTGAGGAATTTTAGTGGAAGGTTTTTGTCTCTGTCTGTACAAAAGAAGAAGCAGACCAGCAGAAACGGTCTAAATTTTGCATTGTTGTGCATACATCAGTAAGGGACAAACATTTCCAGCCTTTTCCGTGTCTGTGATGAGCAAAAAGGCCTTAAACAGCCTTGCTCAGAGAAATGATGACTCTCCAAAACGGGGGTGGGCAACCTAAGGCCCGGGGGCCGGATGCGGCCCACTCGCCTTCTAAATCCAGCCTGCGGACGGTCCAGGAATCGGCATGTTTTTACATGAGTAGAATGTGCCCTCTTATTTGAAATGCATCTCTGGGTTATTTGTGGGGCCTGCCTGCTGTTTTTACATGAGTAGAATGTGTGCTTTTATTATATCTGTGGGGCATAGGAATTCGTTCATTCCCCCACCCCCAAAATACAGTCTGGCCCACCACATGGTCTGAGGGATGGTGGACCAGCCCACGGCTGAAAAAGGTTGCTGACCCCTGCTCCAAAAGAAGCTTACGCAAATCATCATATAAAGGTATGTGAAAATAAATGCTGAGGCAGTCGGCTAACTGCCACAGTTCTGCTGTGCAAGGAACGAGGATGTGTACTGCAGTTTGCCACTCAAAAAGGACACACAACACAGGCTGCATCTTTAAAGCACATTCAAAACATATCCCCCCCCCCCAAAAAAATCTGGGTACTGTGGTTTCTTAAGAGTTGCTGGGAAATTTAACTCTGTGAGGGGTAAACTAAAGTGCCCACCATTCTTTGGGGTGAGGCAAATGGCTTTCAAGATATAGCTACAGGTATACTCCACTTGCCCCAATCTTCCCCTCAAAAACACAGGATATTCCATTAGGCGCAAGGTGCTGTTTTGACTCTGTTTGTCGCTATAGCCTCTCCTGCGGTCTGCGGCTGTTTGGGGCTGATAAGCAAAAAGCATCTCCACCCAACTTCCTTCTGATAAGACAGATAAGCTGCCCCTAGGCCGGGGGTCGGCAACCTGCGGCTCCAGAGCCGCATGCGGCTCTTTAAAGCCTTTGCTGCGGCTCCGGGGCGGTGGCGAGGGGAGGAGGCGAGGGGCGGAGGCGAGGGGCGGAGGTGACCAGCCTGCCGCCCGGCGGGCGGGGCGCCGTAAAGCAGAGCGCCCCCCTCGCCAGGCAGACATCCGCAGCGTGGGGAGCCTTGCCGGACTTCCCGGCAAGGCTCCCGACGCTGCGGATAGCAGCCTGCCGCCCGGTGGGCGGGGCGCCCTAAATCAGAGCGCCCCCCTCGCCAGGCAGACATCCGCAGCGTGGGGAGCCTTGCCGGAGGTCCCGGCAAGGCTCCCCACGCTGCGGATAGCAGCCTGCCGCCCGGCGGGCGGGGCGCCGTAAAGAAAAGCGCCCCCCTCGCCAGGCAGACATCCGCAGCGTGGGGAGCCTTGCCGGAGGTCCCGGCAAGGCTCCCCACGCTGCGGATAGCAGCCTGCCGCCCGGCGGGCGGGGCGCCGTAAAGAAGAGCGCCCCCCTCGCCAGGCAGACATCCGCAGCGTGGGGAGCCTTGCCGGAGGTCCCGGCAAGGCTTCCCACGCTGCGGATAGCAGCCTGCTGCCCGGCGGGCGGGGCGCCCTAAAGCAGAGCGCCCCCCTCGCCAGGCAGACATCCGCAGCGTGGGGAGCCTTGCCGGAGGTCCCGGCAAGGCTTCCCACCCTGCGGATAGCAGCCTGCTGCCCGGCGGGCGGGGCGCCCTAAAGCAGAGCGCCCCCCTTGCCAGGCAGACATCCGCAGCGTGGGGAGCCTTGCCGGACTTCCCGGCAAGGCTCCCCACGCTGCGGATAGCAGCCTGCCGCCCCGCAGGCATCGGCCAGCCCCACAAGCTCGGGGGACAGCAGGGAGGCGAAGCGCCGCCATCCCGCTGTTCCTCGACCTGGTTCAGTTTCCCCGACCTGCTTTTGGGGGGGGAAATAAAGGGAAATTTTCCCCCTTTATTTCCCCCCCAAAAAACTAGGTGCGTCCTATGGGACGGAGCGTCCTATGGGGCGAAAAATACGGTATTTTTATAATGACAAATGCCTCATTATTAATTATTATTTACATCAGGCACTGATTATGATTTATGGTACACTGGGGCCCTGATTAATTTTCTATGGCATTTTGGGGCATTGATTATTGGGCATAGCAAGTCGCGGTCGCGTGGAATTTGTGCTTTGTGACCGTTTGAAGTGGGGGTTTTTTCTTGGGAGGCTGGGCGGCACGAAGAGAGGGATTATTTTTATAATGATGAGGATGACATTGGGCCCTCATTATTAATTATTATTTACATCAGGCACTGATTATGATTTATGGTTCACTGGGGCCCTGGTTAATTTTCTTTGGCATTTTGTGGCATTGATTATGCAGTCGCGGTCGCGTGGAATTCCACGTGGAGTTAGTTGCCTGAAGCCCCTTTTTAGTTGCTTGAAGCCCCTTTTTAAACTTAAGCAGGTGAAAGTTTGGTGAATTGCTGCCAAGGAGTGTGGTGGAGTCTCCTTATTTGGAGGTCTTTAAGCAGAGGCTTGACAACCATATGTCAGGAGTGCTTGGCAGGGGGTTGGACTCGATGGCCCTTGTGGTCTCTTCCACATATGTATGTGAGCAGGTCTTCTCCAACATGAACTATATTAAAAACAAGCACCGATCACGCCTCACAGATGACAGCTTGCAAGCCTGTGTGAAAATGAAGGTGACGTCTTACAGCCCTGATGTGCAGACACTGAGCACTGAGGTTCAGGAGCAAAAGTCCCATTAACCTGGTTACCTGGTTGTAAATTAAATATTTTAATTAGCTATTAATTTGTCCTTTTTTCTTGAGATTGACAGCTGACTGCACGATCCTGTATATATAGCATTAAGGCCAGAAACAATATATGTAGTGTTATATTTGTTTTAAATGTTGCAATGTTTTTGCGGCTCCCAGTTGTTGTTGTTTTTTCGGAAACGGGTCCAAGTGGCTCTTTTTGTCTTAAAGGTTGCAGACCCCTGCCCTAGGCAGAGCATAGCTGGATTAAGACCTTTAGAGGCCCTAAGGACTTAAAAATATTTTGTTGCCCCCACATATATCGACTTCAAAATATAAAAAAATAAGAAACTTTTGTTTTTTTGAAATGAAACAAAACCTAGTAAGATGGAAAATAATGATTATTTTTCTATACTTCCACTTTATTTACATTTGAAAAACTTCCTCCTACTTTTTACTAATTGCAAACTGTTTGCTATAATAATAATAATAATAATTATTATTATTATTATTATTATTATTTATACCCCGCCCATCTGGCTGGGCCTCCCCAGCCACTCTGGGCGGCTTCCATAAAAACCACAAATACAGTAAAATATCACACGTTAAAAACTTCCCTGAACAGGGCTGCCTTAAGATGTCTTCTGAATGTCAGGTAGTTGTTTATCGCTTTGACATCTGCTGGAAGGGCGTTCCACAGGGCGGGCGCCACTACCGAGAAGGCCCTCTGCCTGGTTCCCTGTAGCTTTGCTTCTCGCAATGAGGGAACCGCCAGAAGGCCCTCGGCGCTGGACCTCAGCGTCCGGGCAGAATGATGGGGGTGGAGACGCTCCTTCAGGTATACTGGACCGAGGTCGTTTAGGGCTTTAAAGATCAGCACCAACACTTTGAATTGTGCTCGGAAACGTACTGGGAGCCAATGTAGGTCCTTCAAGACCGGTGTTATATGGTCTCGGCGGCCGCCCCCAGTCACCAGTCTAGCTGCCGCATTCTGGATTAGTTGTAGTTTCCGAGTCACCTTCAAAGGTAGCCCCACGTAGAGTGCATTGCAGTAGTCCAAGCGGGAGATAACCAGAGCATGTACCACTCTGGTGAGACAGTCTGCAGGCAGATAGGGTCTCAGCCTACGTACCAGATGGAGCTGGTAAACAGCTGCCCTGGACACAGATTTGACCTGTGCCTCCATGGACAGCTGTGAGTCCAGAATGACTCCCAGGCTGCGCACCTGGTCCTTCAGGGGCACAGTTACCCCATTCAGGACCAGGGAATCCTCCACACCTGCCCGCGTCCTGTCCCCCAAAAACAGTACTTCTGTCTTGTCAGGATTCAACCTCAATCTGTTAGCCGCCATCCAACCTCCAACCGCCTCCAGGCACTCACACAGGACCTTCACTGCCTTCACTGGTTCTGAGAGAGGTAGAGCTGGGTATCATCTGCATACTGATGAACACCCAGCCCAAATCCCCTGATGATCTCTCCCAGCGGCTTCATGTAGATGTTGAAAAGCATGGGGGAGAGGACCGAACCCTGAGGCACCCCACAAGTGAGGGCCCAGGGGTCTGAACACTCATCCCCCACCACCACTTTCTGAACCCGGCCCAGGAGGAAGGAGCGGAACCACTGTATAACAGTGCCTCCAGCTCCCAGCCCCTGAAGACGGTCCAGAAGATGTTATGGTCGATGGTATCAAACGCCGCTGAGAGATCCAGCAGAACTAGGAAACAGCTCTCACCTTTGTCCCTAGCCCGCCGGAGATCATCAACCAGTGCGACCAAGGCAGTTTCAGTCCCATGATGAGGCCTGAATCCCGACTGGAAGGGATCCAAATGGTCCCTCAGATCCTCAAAACTAATATTACGTACCGCCTCTGCTTCTATACTTAAGTCGAGATAAGGCGTCCAGCCTGCCTTGTTGCCGTTCTGTTGGGATTTTTAATTTGATCCCAGAATGTCCCACTTTTCCGTAGGAGGCCCCTATATTCATTGGAGAAATGTAGGAGGATATGGCATGAAGCTCTTAATCCCAGGGATGAAAAGAGCTGAATATATCATTTCCATCACGCAAGCGCTGTTTCCTCAACAGTATGCTAGCAACCATCAGCTGCAGTGCAGATTGTGTTTGAAGCTTTCCTTAACAAATTCAGCTCCATGATCACCCAGTTCTACAACAATATATTAAACCCTTCCCATTTCAAATGTGTGGTTGGCATTTAAGCAATTTATGAACACATAAAGCACAAGTAGAACCTGCAAAGGCAACCACCACGGGTCTCTTGATTACACTAGGGCTGCCTTGATGTAAAACCGCTGTAGGAATCATAGAATCGCAGAATTGTAGAGTTGGAGGGAACCCTGAGGGTCATCTAGTCCAACCCCCTGCAATGCAGGAATATGCAGCTGTCCCATACGGAGATCCAACTTGCAACCTTGGCGTTATCAGCACCACACTCTTAACCAACTGAGCTATCCATTGTTTCATCTATGAGACAACCACAGGCAGATTTTCTCACCATTTAAAATAAGATTGAACCACACGAACCGGCAAAATCAATGACTCATTTCAGCAACGTAGAGAGCAGTTACAGCAATATAGCCTCATTCATGTTTTGCACGGATAGCCAAAAACAGACACAGAAGCAGCAAAAGAGAGGGAACGTCTAGGATTCTAAGCCCTCTAGCACCTAGTTCCCTAACCACATACCCCTAGCAGAGACAGGTATCAGACACATCACGGGGTATTTGTTTCCCCCAACCCCAGAGAACGACTCCATGCTGTACATGCGGCAGGCCCCGAGTTCAAATCCACAGCGCAACCCCACTCTATACAATATATAGGAGAGGGAAGGTTGTGAAGAGGTAATCTTTATCTGTTTTAGTATTGCAGCTTTTGCTTGTTTTGAAGTATGGTTTTGAATTTTTCTCAATTTTATTGTTTTATCTTTTTGTAAACTGCTTTGAGATACGTTTTTTTAACAAGCAAGCGGTGTATGAATTTCATGAAAACAAATAAATAAGCTGATATGTGGGCTTTGATGCTATTTCTATGGATGTGGCTTCCATTTTAGGATTTTCTGAGTTTTGCATTCTCCCCTTCCTTCTTAAGACTGTGCACGTATAGAACACAAGAGCGCTTCTTTCCCTGCAACCAATATAATAAACTCCAGATTAATTGGATCTTGTCATCAGAGGCATGGCTCATATCTAGGAAGCCGTGAATTTAGTATTGTAGGCCCAAACTTCTAGAACTCCCTTCCAGTTGAGCTCAGACAGGCACCCTGGACCCGGCTGAATCTCCACTGCCTATTGGAGACATTTTTTAAAAACTCCAGAAGGAATTTTAACGTAAGTTTGATTGTTATAGTTTAATTTTATACTGTAGTTTTATTTTTATAGTTTTAACAGATTTATACCTTTTTTGTACTGTTGTATACCACATGCAGATTATTGTATTTAAACAATATATAAATTGTTGAAAAGAATAAAATTTTTGGAACTCAAGTCCGTCAAGCCCTTGATGAGATATTTAGTTGTGAAAACTCACTTGATTTTTCACATCTGGTACATATATTTTCTGACTGCTAGAGCTTTGACTTATACATGCACATTGCTGAAGGCCAGATGAGCCTTTGAAAGTCAGCCTTAAGCCCAATTAAAATTATTCAGCCTTGCAGGTGATTCACAGGTTTACTATTAATTTGTTTAGGGCATTATAACTGCCAAGCTTTTAACTGTTGAAGTATTGGAACCACCAAAACTGAACTAGAAGAATCTAAGTGGGAAAGAAAATTATGCTTGCAAGCTTTTTTCCTTTTTCTTTTTAATCAGCAATTTAAAAATTCAGTGCTTCCAATAATAAAATAAATGGCCAAAACAAGTTTCTCCAAGCACTCCAAAGTCAAACACAGTCCTTTCATAGGCCAAAGAGATCACCAAGTCCTTTCAACATGCTTCCAAGGCCACAGATCTTCGGACCAGGTTTTTTATGAACATGGAAAGTACAGACATATGACAACACAAAGTTTTTAAACTCCATTTTGTCCCCAGTTTGCTTTTCACCCACTCTAATTTATTCACACAAAAGACAACTGCAGCATGGCCTCCGATGCAGATCGCTGGAGCAAGGAGTGCAAAGAAGGGGGAAAGTCAGGCAATACTCAGCTAGGAGAAAGCTAAATAACAGCAAGATAGGACAATCCCCCTTGCTGAAGGCAGCTGGACTAACAGCAACATTTAAACAGATAGCTTAATAGGGATTTGTCCCAGCATTTGACTCCTGAGTTGTGCCTTAAGTTCTTCCACTGTTTCGTGCACACAGAGGAAGACTGAAGAGACACAGGAGTGCTTAATGGCAACCATTTAAACTCACTGACTACAGGGTTTGGCACACTAAAGCAATCCTACAAGGCAGGGATGGGGAACCTGTATCCTTCCATTAGTACTATCAACTCCCATCAGCCTCAGCCAACACTGGTAATAAATAATCAGGTTTGTTTTTCTGGTAATAGGGATGATGGGATTTGTAGTCCAACAAACAGATGGAAGGCTACAGGCTCCCTGCCCTTATTATAAGGAATGCTAAAATTCTGCGTCCCACTGTTGCTTTCCGGCAATGGCACTGTTTGTTCTTTCTTACCGACTGCGCCAGACAAGCTCTGAAACAGACACACTTCCTGTCGCCTCTCCTCTTTACCCTGTTTTTCTTGGGCGTACAAGCAGAACGCATTACTCAAGAGGAGAGCAGGCAGGAGAGTCAGCACACAATTTAGGAGTCACCGGTTTGGGGTGCTAGGTTCAGCCACCCCAACACCGCTTTCTTGAGAGTCTTTCCTGTGTTCTCTTTGGAAGTGGCTCAGGCCGAAGAGGAGTTCTGGAAAAGGGTTCTTCTGAGTAAGGTGGGCCTTAGCAGCACGTCTGACACATGCACCTGACACCAAGAAGTGCACTCGTATGTCAGGTATGGCAAAGTCTCCCTGGAATGCTCTTCCCGTCATGACCAAAGCAATATTTGGCTCCCCTCTGTCTCACTTATAAAGGCCTGGTCCACAGGCTTGGGCAGTGTTACCCCATAAACGGGTGCAAGTCACCTCCCATATGGATCAGATCACCAGTTTCACAAAGCAACTGCAGCGAGTGGAAGAACTGGATTAGGCCGCTTTGTTCTCCGGCAGAACTCACTCAGGATTTTAAACCCATTTTAGACATCATCTGTTCATAGACAGTCCACGCCATGGCCGCCATCAGTGTTCGTCGCAAAGCTCTTGGGACGGCACCTCGGAAAAGCCTATTAATCCGTAATCCTGTAGGAGGAGAAAGAAGCAAGTGTCGTTGTTACTTTTAAGCATGCAAATCCTTCAGCAAGGCACATTAATGCTGCAGCAAATGTTCACCAAGTTTGATTTTCGGTTAGAAATTAAAGGTTAGGGTGGTTAAAGGATTTTCTAAGAAAAAACCCCCAAACCTGAATGAATGGTCAACGTTTTCCAAAGCTGTCACAGCTGCTATCATTTCTCCTATCTGCTTCTGCATCAGGTTTTTATTCTGTCTAGAGACTCTCTTTCTTTGTAAAAAAAAAACCCAGAAGCTTTCCTTTTGGGAATTATAGGGACAGAACTACCTAAACTGTATAGAAATTTATTAATGTATGTGACTACAGCGGCAAGAACGTTACTTGCCCAAAAATGGAAAGAAGAAGTGGTCCCAGCAAAAGGAGAATGGATACAAAAACTTATGGAATACGCAGAAATGGGAAAACTTACCAGAAAAATAAGAAATCCAGATAACGTTTTTATAAAAGAATGGAAATGTTTTAGTGAATATTTACAAATAAATTGTAAAGAGATAGGAACATTGGCAGGATTACTGTAATAACCTGCAGGTTTTATAAGAGTATATATTTAAAGTGCGTAGATGAATAAATGAGTAAATTAAATTAATTTGGATATGCAGAAAATATTAAAAATAAGTTTAAGGAACCGCAGAAAGAGGGGGAAGGAAGTCAAGTTTTGAAATGTCAAAATGATTATAAAATTATTGAAACATATAAAATTGAAAATCATAAAATCATAAAAATAATACTAATGAGACACTCCCTCTGTTACCTATGGGTTTAGCATTAGCTAGGCAAGGATCACATAATGAAAATTATCACATGGTACTAGGTGTTAACAACGCTCCACGTTCCTTTCTCTGGCTTTCTTACTAAAGCTGGATGAAAGGAATCTGGGGGTGCTCAAACTGTTTCAGAAGTGTGCTTAAAGGAAATCCAGGTTTCTGAAATGGAGTTGTGTACATTTTCGTCAGGGTTAAGAATGGTCAATATTATTATTATTAGGAGCAAAACATTAGCCAATAGGCCTGGTCTTTATTCAAACGACTGTTGCAACAGGACTTCCACCCACCCCATAAAAGCAGCAGGAAGAAGCCAGAATGGTCAGTATAATTATGACCCTAGCCAGGCAGGTGAGAAGGAAGGAAGGAAATTCATGTGTCCTTTGAGCCAACCCCATGTCTTGCTATTGTTCCCTTAACCTAGATAGCAGTGTGTCAGCACCATAACTTTAGAGTCCCAAGTAAGGTATTCTCATGTTGCAGGATATTAGCAAAACATGTACCAAATGCTTACAAAAAAAGGGGCAAGCATTTGCCTTATGGACACAGCAATGCTTAGGCACAAATGCTGACGAAGGAACTCGACAGATTCTCTCACTTGCGAAGACAAAAACATTTTGTATGGGTCCAGCTGATCAGCATAGAAACCTAACAAAAGAAATTGTTCAACAGCTACTCTTTGAACGACACTAGGAATTATTCAAAAGGATATACTTGTGCATCTAGAATCATAAAAGATCTAGTTTGGTGAAGAGCAGGGAAAGTGCATCATTCGGTGATACCTTAGCTTAATGAAATATTTCTAAACTAAATAAATTTCTCGGGGAGGGTTGTGTTATCTTTCTCCCTTTTAATTGTGTGTCCAAAGGACAAAGATATGGTTTACAACCATTTGTTCCCAGAGCAGAGGTAGCTCAGAATTGCTTCAGTCTGAAAGCAAGCCAAGAGTGATAAAAAACCCTGAAAGCACATCCAGATCCTATAATTTAGCTATTCATGAAATTCTATCTGTCATCAAAGTACGCTCTGCCAGTTTAAGAGCCAAAGTACTCTTTCATACCTGGTACAGTCGTACTTCGGAAGTCAAACGGAATCCATTCCGGAAGTCCATTCAACTTCCAAAACGTTCAGAAACCAAGGCACGGCTTCTGATTGGCTGTAGGAAGCTCCTGCGGCCAATCAGAAGCCGTGCCAGATGTTCGGGTTCCAAAGAACATTCGCAAACTGCAACACCAATTTCCAGGTTTGCGGCATTCGGGAGCCAAAACGTACGAGTGTCAAGACGTTCAATTTCCAAGGTACAACTGTACTGCAGTGAGCAATCTCTCTACATGTAGGAAGATGTCAGGGAAGGTCTATGCATACACAAAACAACACTCTCACAATTTTGCAACACCGAAACAAAGTTGTAAAGTCAGAACAACGCATGCTAAGTCCAAAAGGTTGATGTGCAGTGATTCTATATATTTGTAAAATTCAGTATAGTTTTGGAGGGGAGAGTGCGGAGATAGCAAGCCTAGAGAATGGGTCACAATGTGTGAACAGGGTTTGCATGTAGAAGTTCCCAGTTTCAATACATAAACAATACTGAGCTCTAGGTCCAATGGTCAGATATAGTGGTATAATGCACCTTTCTGGGAAGAGAGTTGCTCACATCACTGAACACTCACTAGCAGTTTTTGGGGGCTACAGATAAGAACAAGCTGCGAGGCCAAAGTCTTATCCAAGCTCAAACTGTGTTTCTGAGAATCTGTTATTATTTTGCCTTTTCCCCCTAAAAGGGACTCAAGGAGGCTTACAGATAAAAATAAGAACAGCCGATGACGCCAGTCTACTCTTGCCTCAAACATAGCTGCAAAGCCTTAGAAAAAAATAACAGTATAAAAATGTGATTAGTTAATGAGCAAACTCAACCTTACCCTGAAGATTAAGGCAATGGCTTGGCGCATCCGGAGGTGTTTGTCGGATGACACCTGCACGTGGGTTTTGATGACGTCAGCAGGCTGAGTTGCCAGCGATGCCAGAATCCCTGCAACAGTCCCGCAGCCAAAGTTCACTAAAGGTGAGAGTGCTGGGTCCACTTGGTCTGGAAAAGAACGAGTGAAAAACCATTTCACAATTAGCTTTCCGCAGGAGAAAAGAAGGATCACAAAGTCTTATGCCAAATCTTTCTTAATCATGTTAAAACCTCAGTAACAGCCACTTACTCCACCTAAAAAGTACTTGGATAAGAGATTTCAGCTTCCCTAAGCAACTTGTCACATTTGCCTAACTGTTCCCCCACTTAAATCTAGCTTCATTTTACATACAGAGCTGCTTGCCCCATCTTCCTTATTCTACCTTTAAAATTATCCCAAAACTAGCCAGTCCCCTTACCCAAATTTGCCTCCCAAACTTTGTCACGTGCCTTGCTCTATTCTGAGCAAGTTTTTACTCAAAGCAAACCCACTGAAATAAATGAACCTAACATAGTCCTGTTCATTAAATGCAGCTGACTACCGTCCTTATGACTTTCTAGTTTGATTTCTGTGCAACATGCTTTCAAACTGACTCTGACATTTCGAACAAGTACTAACCAGCGTTGAGCGTTTGTCACAGTCCTATTAAGACATACAAGTATATAAAGTAAGAGGTGTCTGCCAAGCCAGCTTCAATGGCATTCAACTTCACTGTGGCATCATCCCATTGCTGACTCAGAAATGTGCTCTGCTGTAACTTCCTGGACCTTACAGTGTTCAGTGCTAATCTGGCACTGCTAGGTAGCTGACTAAACAGATTACTCAGCAGATTACATCATGGTGTTTTCCCCCTGCAGAGTAAGGTGGCAATTCTATTATGCAACAGGCTTATTTTTCTTTTAAGTAAACATGCTTAAGACAGGGTTGCAAAGAGACCAGGCATAGAATAGACTATAGGCAAAGGACTATGTTTAAAAGGAGTGTTTTAGAAGCAGCATCCACCACGACGAAATTTCAATCACAGAAACAATCATGCATAGAAATAAAAAGGTAAAGGTATCCCTGCCCGGACGGGCCAGTCTTGACAGACTCTAGGGTTGTGCGCTCATCTCACTCTAGAGGCCGGGAGCCAGCGCTGTCCGCAGACACTTCCGGGTCACGTGGCCAGCGTGAGAAGCTGCATCTGGCGAGCCAGCACAGCACATGGAAACGCCGTTTACCTTCCCGCTGGTAAGCGGTCCCTATTTATCTACTTGCACCCGGGGGTGCTTTCAAACTGCTAGGTTGGCAGGTGCTGGGACCGAACGATGGGAGCGCACCCCGCCGCGGGGATTCGAACCGCCGACCATGCGATCGGCAAGTCCTAGGCGCTGAGGTTTTACCCACAGCGCCACCCTCTTCACCAATTATCAGGTGACAAGAAGATGACATGTCTCCAAAACTCTGCCAACTCTCTCGAGTGTAGCAATCTGCAGTTATGTACACCAACAATGACTGGTGCATAGCAAATATTCTCCAAGCAAAATTACATTGCTACAAATATTGAAATGTTTGGGCCTGTCAACCCACCATTCAGTCATGCAGCTCATGCTCTGGTCAACCAGGTGAATAAATACTTCAGTGGCTCATCCTGATCCTGTTGGAAAAGCCTGATGTACCATATCTAAACCTTGCAAATTAAATTCCAGGAACAGGAAGCTGTGAGGACATTACAACCACCCTTACCATACGGTGCTATCTTTTTGGTTTGTGTGTAGAACATCAAGTAAATGCCAGAAAAGGGTGCATCACGCAGGAGTGTTGCAGTCAGACCGCTAAACAAGCCCTGGACACTTTCTGACCGATAGATGCTCCTCAGGGCTCCATAAATGCTTTCATAGCCGTACCTTCCACACTGCAAACCAAACACAAAAGTGAAATTTAACACCTAACAACGAAAGTGTCCTCGGGCTGTATAGTTGAAGGGCAGCAACTGACCTATACGGACCGGTTGAGGGACTAGTACAGCCATTATTATTATTTTTAAAAAAAGTTACAAAACTCACCTCATACCGTGTTTTCACTACAGTGATAGGCAACATGCAAACCACAGCTACAGTACGCGAGGTTCCACCCAGCAAAACAGACTCCAGGGCTGTAGGAGAACGATCCAGCAGAAAATGCTGCTTTATCATATATAAGGTGCTGAAGTAAATCCCTACTCCTGGGATGCATCTTGCAAAGGACTGTGAAGAGATGAAAGGGCAACAGTGGGGAGAGAGAAAATATTTAGTTGTAAGACCACAATGGAAATTCTATTGCATATTTACCGTATTTTTCACTCCATAAGACGCACGTCTTTCCTCCTAAAAAGTAAGGGGAAATGTCTGTGCGTCTTATGGAGCGAATGTGTGGTCGATTGCTGGCTCCCTTTCCGGCCCCGCCTCCTTGCCCAGGCCTCCATTGTTGAATGTTCTGCAGACGGAGGCTGTTTCCACAGTGACATGTGACTGGCTGATTAGTTTATCTGCCTGGAAACTGTAGAAACGGCTCCCTTTCCTTTCCTAAAGAAGCTGCAGAACTGTGAGTTGAACCCCATAAAAACAGGATTTTTTTCCTTTGCAAAGTAAGCTCAACAACTTTGAGCTGATCCTCAAAAAAGGGGGCTTTTCCCCTTTGCAAAAGAAGCTGCGCAACTTTGTGCTGATCCTCAAAAAAACGGGGCTTTCCCCCTTTCCTCCTCTAAAAACTAGGTGCGTCTTATGGGGCGAAAAATACGGCATTTCTTTTCAAGCCACGTGACCTGCTCACAATTCAAGACACCATAAACATGAGGCTACATTTTCTACAATCTTAGACCTACTCAGAGCAGAGCCATGGAGATTAATGGAACTAAGTTAGTCATGTTCATTTATTTCTGTTAATAGGGTGTTTGTCTCACAAGGAGACAAATGAGGTTAACTCCAACGAATCCAAAAGAAAAGAAAAACACTGTTTTATTTAGGCAACTTACCGGAGAAACACCCTTCCACAGCCCCAGTATACTTTCTGTGCGAACCACCTTAAAGAACAGAGTTACCATGCCAACACGGCCTGATCTGCAAGGAAAACCAAATCGGAGGTGAAAAACAGGCACACATAATCACAACATTCTGTTGATAGGAAACACATTGCAAAATAATCCTTTCCTCCTTCCGTTGGCCAAAGCCCTCCAGAGATGAGCAGGTATACCAAGCCATTCCTGCTTCTCTGAACAAGTTATTTGATGTCCATTTAATACACAAAGAGGTTGGAATCCTGCCATTCTTCTCTATTGACCACTAACATATTAGTTTATGGCAACACTACATGAAAAGGCCAATACGCTACTTTGGCATGTGCTTACATTTCAGTTCATGGTATCTAGAGTACTTGCTGTTTCAGTGGGAATGGCTTTTCGGGGCTTCCAGTAAAAATGATCCATGTTTTTTAAGACAGCTCTAGCTAGATCAGTCACTCAAAACAGGACTGGCTCAGACATACAATCGGGATTTTTAAAGTTTGGAAACCTCATTGTAAGCCAGGGTGATTGCACACAGTCATAATAATCATAATTACTAATTATTAATCATCCTGGTTATCTACTGACTGAGACCACCATATAAATGCATTTATTAGATTAAAAACTGAGGCTGAAATATGCTCTTTCCCCTCATGGTCTTGCAACACCTTTTGGAAGACCTTTCCTACTTCATTTGCCAAGCACTTTTCGCCCTCTTCTGTTCTCATTCTGTCTCTATTCCAAACCTCTAACACCAAGAGCGTAAGCGTCTCTTCTTGAAATATCAAATGCTTACCCATTGACAGATGGCTGTAGGGTCTGCAGGCGGGTTTTAAGCAGGTCTAGAGGCTGGAATAGCAGGGTAGAGCAGGTCCCACTGATGGAGCCACAAACAAAGGCTTTCAGCACAGGGTGCATCTTCAAAGGAAAACAGTGCAATGTTAAAAGAAAAAGCCTTTAAATGAGACGTATTATCCCCAGCAAAGACATAATATATATTTTTGATGCTCAATTCAGGATTTGCTTTCATAAACGGTATCGGTGAAAATGCTCAACAAGTTGCAATTTAACGCCAATGTCCTGCAATGCCTCTCACATGTTTAAGCCCGTTGGAAGTCTTGTGACAACTGTGCATGATTTCAACTAGTTATAGAAATGTAAGGGACCTCAAAGGCAACCTAGCCCAACCCCGTCAGTGCAGAAAATCCACAGCTACAGCATCCCTCATGCCAATACTTATCAATCTCACCGAAAAAGTGTCTACAACATTCCAAAACTATTTTTTCCACTGTCAAACTGCTAATACTACCAGAAAGTTGTTCCTCGGGTCTTGAGCAATGTGTTACTTTGCAGTAAATCTCTCAAGAGAATACTTATATGGGTGTCTTCAGTTATACGTCACCATCCTTAAATGAGCATCTCAGGAATCTCATGTAAAAGCTCACAAAATCATACACATAATGTACCTTCCGAATACATTAGTCTGTTATGTTGCGTCTTCGGTACACTGACACTGCAATCCTATGCTGCATGTAATGAGGTTTACTGCTAGATAAGCACAACTTAAAATCCCAATGAATAACATACCCACTGAAGAGAGTGAACTCACTTCCAAAAGGATGTACAGAATTGTGCTGTTAGTTACATGTGAAATGCTGCTTTTGACAGGCTCGTGTCTTAAATCCCATTAATTTCAATTTCAGGTATTTAAGGGGGGTCCTTTGGGACTTCAAAAGTGCTTGTCATTGACAGGAACATGGCTAGGAAATCAAGATTTCTGCTGCAATTTCACACCTGGAAACAATCAGATTTTCAGCCGCGCTTCTCACAAAATACTGACCACTCTCAGTATTGAGAAATCAGTCAACGGAAGATCACGGAACGTTCCAGACCCAACCCATCCAACAGTAGTGGCAACATTCCCACTGTAACATCTCTGAGAATATAGTGGCATTGGCTTTGAAATAAGGCCACTTGTCCGTAAGTAAGCAGCAGCTGAACAACTGAAGGCCAGCAACTGACTATTAGTTGACTCTCCAGCTGACTTAAAAGCATAAGAACATAAGAAGAGTTCTGCTGGATCAGATTAAAGCCCGTCCCAGCTAACTTCCTGGCCAGCTAGATGCCTACAAGAAGTCCACAAGCAAGGCCTTCTCGGTGGTTGCTCCCAAACTTTGGTGCTCCCTCCCTAGCAAGGTTAGGCAGGATCCTTCATTGTTGTCCTTCTGCTGGCAGGTGAGGACCTCCATATTCCTGCAGGCTTTGAGGAACTGACCGCTTTTAATGAGAGGGCTGGTGCTATGCCGTTTCTATTATTATCTGTTTTTAATACACACACAGTTTTAATTCTATTAATGTTTAATTGTTTGTTAATGATTTCTTCTCCCCCCCCCATGTTTTTTGCTGTTCTTATTCATAAGCTGCTTTGTGTCCCTGTCAAGGCAAAAGGCAGGGTTTAAATCAACAGAATGATGATGATGATGATATGAACTTAACAACACCCCCCAGCAACCATTATTCAGAGGCTAATCCTAAAGGTAGTACATAACCCCTCCATAGAGCAGTCAGTAGAGCACGGGGCTCTTAATCTCAGGGTGGTGAATTCATGGGGCAAAAGGGGTTGGGCTGGATGACCTTTGGGGATCCCTTCCAACTCTACCATTCTACGCTACCCTAAGGAGGAGCCACGGAAAGCCAGTGTCGTCCACACGCTTGCATAGTGCCTCCTTTTCCATGCCCTTTCCTCAACGCACAACACGAGGCTGCAAATTTCCAAATTGGTGATTCCCTTCTGTATTTTGGGTTTCGTTCTCTGCTTCGTGGACTGCCTCAAGATCTTTGAACCGAGGGGCGGTATACAAATTTAATAAATAAAAAAATGAAGAAAGGCTCCACTCTGGAGTCCCGGCCAGCCAGCTAGAGACCAGAAGCGGTCTACCACCACCCCATACACCCCACCCCCCCTCCAACCCCTATCCCACGTCCCTATACCCCCACTCCCTATACCCCCTACCCTCCTACACCCCCAGGTATACAAGTTTAATAGTAATACTAATAATAGTAATAATAATAATTTATCATTTATACCCTGCCCATCTGGCTGGGTTTCCCCAGCCACTCTGGGCGGCTTCCAACAGAATATTAAAATACAATAGTCTATTAAACATTAAAAGCTTCCCTAAACAGGGCTGCCTTCAGATGTCTTCCAAAAGTCTGGTAGTTGTTTTTCTGGTGGGAGGGTGTTCCACAGGGCGGGTGCCACTACCGAGAAGGCCCTCTGCCTGGTTCCCTGTAACTTGGCTTCTCGCAACGAGGGAACTGCCAGAAGGCCCTCAGCGCTGGACCTCAGTGTCTGGGCAGAACGATGGCAGTGGAGACACTCCTTCAGGTATACTGGACCGAGGCTGTTTAGGGCTTTAAAGGTCAGCACCAACAGTTTGAATTGTGCTCAGAAACGTACTGGGAGCCAGTATAGGTCTTTCAAGACCGGTGTTATGTGATTTAATAAATAATAATGGAGAAAGGCTCCTGTCCCAAGTCCCACCTCCCCTCAGCCAGAGACCGGAAGCAGTCCCCCACCACCCCATACATCCTAACCCCTTCCAACCCCTAGCCCACCCCCTATATACACTTGCCAATCAGAAGGTCGGCGGTTCGAATCCCCGCAATGGGGTGAGCTCCCGTTGCTCGGTCCCTGCTCCTGCCAACCTAGCAGTTCGAAAGCATGAAGTGCCAATAAAGCGAGATGAGCGGAGCAACCCCAGAGTCGGTCATGACTGGACCTAATGGTCAGGGGTCCCTTTACCTTTACCCTACACCCCCAGGTTTACAAGTTTAATAAATAAGTGAAGAAAGGCTCCTGTCCCGAGTCCCACCTCCCCCCAGCCCGAGACCAGAAGCGAGCCCCCACACCCCATACACCCCCCTCCAACCCCTCCTCAGGCATACAAGTTTAATAAATAACGATGAAGAAGGGCTCTTGTCCCGAGTCCCACCTCCCCCCAGCCAGAGACCAGAAGCAGTCCCCCACCACCCCATACAACCCACCCATTCCAACCCCTACCCCACCCCCACTACCCCCTACCCTCCTACACCCCCAGGTATACAAGTTGAATAAATAACAATGAAGAAAGGCTCCTGTCCCAAGTCCCACTTCCCCCCAGCCAGAAGCAGAAGCAGTGCCTCCCCCCACCACCCCATACACCCCTCCATTCCCCCCCCTCCAACCCCTCCTCAGGTATACAAGTTTAATCAATAACGATGAAGAAGGGCTCTTGTCCCGAGTCCCACCCACCCACCCAGAGACCAGAAGCGGGCCCCTTCCCACCCAAGCCGTGAGGGCGCCTCTTACTCGGAAGCAAGCCAAAGCACCACCCGGCAGAGGCGCCCGGCCGCCTTACTGCGGGGGGCGGGATGCTGGGCAGCCCAACCCAGGCCACCCCTCCCCCCCACCCCCCACTGACCGCCATGACCTCTCGGCCCCCCGGCCAACTTCTCCTCAGCTCCGCCTCGGGTCCCGCAGCCGAGGGCATCCCACGCAGCTCGCCGCCGGGGCCCAGCCGCGCCGACGCCTCCGACGCCCGACCAATCCGAGGCGAGGGGAGGAGCCTTGCCCACGTGAAGGGGGAGGCGGGGCGTCGCCCGACGCCCCGCCCTCGAGGCCAAAGGACCGCGCGCCAAAGAGCGGTGATCGCGGAGAGCGTGGCGGAGGCTTGGAAGGGGGAACCCCCGGAGTCATCTAGTCCAACCCCGCGGCTAAAGCGTCGCCTGGCACACGGGCGCCCAACCTCGAAGCAGAGAAAGGAGAGTTTGCAGCCGACAGCCCCCCTGAAAAAGAAAAAGAGGGTGAAGGAAGGAGGGTTTGCAGCCAGCAGCGCGCGGGTGCCTTTTTTAAACTCACTTTATAGAATCCTAGAATCGGAACTGCAGAATTGGACAGGATCCCAAGGGTCACCGAGCCCACCCTTTTGCGGGAGCCCCATTTTGGCACTGGAAACAAATCCCCAGACTGATGAGTGCATACATAAACACATACATACATAACCACACTTTCTCTTAATTCTAAATGTATATCTGCACCCTTTTTAAAATCATAATAATTGCACAGATTATACTTATTTTTTCTATGTAATCTCCCCAATAAACGTATTTGATGGTGTCTATTTTCTTGACATGTGCTTTATAGAAATAAATTCTATTTCTAGGTACCAAGCTGGTTTCCATGAACATCGCAACTCCGCAGACAAAATATATTTGGGGTTTTAATCCCTTTCCAGCACAGCCGAGGCTCGGTGGGGAATTTATAACGGTGTTTTAAATCCCTATGATGAGCAGCCCGATCTTAGGAACTTGCCCAGTTTTCTTACCACTGAAGAGTTCCACCTTGTTTCCTGCTTCGCGTGTGCCTGAAAAAGGGTAGGTGGTTCATTTAAGACTCTAACGGCAGATGCTGGTGGAATTGAACCTAAAAATTACTAAGGATCTAGGAATTGTACCTAAACATTATTAAGGATCCTAGAATTAAAGCTAAAAATGATTGAGGATCCAGGAATTAAACTTAAAAATTACTAAGATCTGGAATTAAACCTTACAATAGCTAAGGATCCTGAACTTAAACAAAAAAAAATATTAAGATCCTAGATTTAAACCTAAAAATTGCTAAGGATCTTGGCCTTTTTCAGCTCCTCTCTGTCAATTCTGCTTCTACATATGCTATTTACGCTTTGGGTCGCCAGATCTTGTCAGACTGCAACTCCCATCATCCCAAGCACGTCGCTTGGAGATGACGAAAGAGACCGGTTACACAAAGGAAGCCGGGTGACTATCTCATCACCGCGGAACTAGGAAAAAGTGTAGAGTCACACAACTCCATAGGTTGAATTTGAGCTAGTTTTCATAGATGAAAGCACATTATAAAAGCTTAGGAAAAACAATTGGATTTGGGAAAGGACTTGGAGCCTAATTCTGGTACTGAAAAGAAATCCTCAGGCTACACACGAGTTTAGCCTCTTTCCCAGGCTTCTTGTTGTGGTTGTTTAGTTGTTTAGTCGTGTCCGACTCTTCGTGACCCCATGGACCAGAGCACGCCAGGCACTCCTGTCTTCCACTGCCTCCCGCAGTTTGGTCAAACTCATGCTGGTAGCTCTGAGAACACTGTCCAACCATCTCGTCCTCTGTTGTCCCCTTCTCCTTGTGCCCTCCATCTTTCCCAACATCAGGGTCTTTTCCAGGGAGTCTTCTCTTCTCATGAGGTGGCCAAAGTATTGGAGCCTCAGCTTCACGATCTGTCCTTCCAGTGAGCACTCAGGGCTGATTTCCTTCAGAATGGATAGGTTTGAGCTTCTTGCAGTCCATGGGACTCTCAAGAGTCTCCTCCAGCACCAGAATTCAAAAGCATCAATTCTTCGGCGATCAGCCTTCTTTATGGTCCAGCTCTCACTTCCATACATCACTACTGGGAAAACCATAGCTTTAACTAGGCTAAACATACCCAACTCCTTCAACCATTCCCTCATAAGGCTTGGTTTCCAGACCCTGACCCTTGATCATCTCGGTTGCCCTCTTCCATAACGTTGCTGTGTGTTTTTTAATCTGTTTTTGGTCGATCTTCAATTCTTATTTCTTTTAATTAAATAGTTGTTTTAAACTGCTTTTACTGTTTTTTTGTTTGTTTGTTTGTTTGTTTTTGCAAAGCACAAAGATGTGAATTTAAAAATTAAGCAGTACAGGCAATCCACCACTAACATTATGTTTCGAGGCACCACGTGCATCAATGAAATTGCGTGTATTTGAAACACTGTTGTAAAAGCCTGCCAACCCTCTGTTCTGCCCCCACGCCGCTCTGCCCCTCTGGGTGACATTTTTGACATTTATCAGTCACTTCTGAGTTATGTGCGTGTCCACAGTTGCACACATATTGAACATGTGTTCATGGGTGGTTGCCTAAATATAGATGTTATGAAATAAAAGAATAAATAAACTGCAAGCTGTAGCCTGCTGTCTGCCTTCTAAATCTGGCCCACAGACGGTCCAGGAATCAGCATGTTTTTACATGAGTAGAATGTGTGCTTTTATTTAAAATGCATCTCTGGGTTATTTGTGGGGCCTGCCTGGTGTTTTTACATACCGTATTTTTTGCTATATAAGACTCACTTTTTCTCTCCTAAAAAGTAAGGGGAAATGTGTGTGCGTCTTATGGAGCGAATGCAGGCTGCGCAGCTATCCCAGAAGTCAGGAACAGCAAAAGGGATCGCTGCTTTCGCTGCGCAGTGATCCCTCTTGCTGTTCTGGCTTCTGGAATTCAGAATATTTTTTTTCTTTTTTTCCTTCCCCAAAAACTAGGTGCGTCTTATGGTCTGGTGCGTCTTATAGAGCGAAAAATACGGTAAGTAGAATGTGTTTTTATTTAAAATGCATCTCTGGGTTGTTTGTGGGGCATAGGAATTCGTTCATTTTCTTGTCCAAAATATAGTCCGGCCCCCACAAGGTCTGAGGGACAGTGGACCCGCCCCCTGCTGAAAAAGTTTGCTGACCCCTGTTGTAAGATCTTGAGTGGTGCTAATGGAGATGTCGTTTGTCTGAGATTGGGAGCAAAAGGTGTTGAGCTGTTTTTCCTTTTCAGCAGATCTTGACTAATAGTTCTGTTTTTCCTTTATTTACAGGAAAGAACACCGGAGGTTCTGGGGTGATCAGCATGCAGATTACATGATTGACTGGATTTTTGGGAAATGGTTATCAGTGCTGCTGTGAAGTTCTGTTCTGCATACTTTTATTAATTAAACTTGGTTTATGTTTGTATTTTATGTGTATTCGTGGATTCATTTGTAGACTCAGTAGGTGGCGCTGTGGTGTTACAAGGTTTGACAGTTTGTGAGTTTGACAGTTTGTGAGTAGCAGAGGATAATCATATTCACAGATTGGTTATACACTAATGTAGTAATAAGGTAAAGGTAAAGGTACCCCTGCCCGTACGGGCCAGTCTTGACAGACTCTGGGGTTGTGCGCCCATCTCACTCAAGAGGCCGGGGGCCAGCGCTGTGTGAAGACACTTCCGGGTCACGTGGCCAGCGTGACAAAGCTGCATCTGCCGAGCCAGCACAGCACACGGAACGCCGTTTATCTTCCCGCTTGTAAGCGGTCCCTATTTATCTACTTGCACCCAGGGGTGCTTTCGAACTGCTAGGTTGGCAGGCGCTGGGACCGAGCGATGGGAGCGCACCCCGCCGCGGGGATTCAAACCGCCAACCTTTCGATCAGCAAGCCCTAGGCGCTGAGGCTTTTACCCACAGCGCCACCCGCGTCCCTAATGTAGTAATACAAAGTCTTAAAACGGAATACAGGATATGAGGGCATTAAACTATACAGCGATACAAAGTCAACAGTTACATTCTCTAGTTACAATTTAAGGAGCGATATAAGGTAAGGAAATACAAGTAAAAAGATGCGTTCTAAAACAGGATTCAGCAAACTTTTTCAGCATGGGGCCAGTCCACTGTCCCTCAGACCTTGTGGGGGGCCGGACTATATTTTGAAGAGAGAGAAATATGAACGAATTCCTATGCCCCACAAACAACCCAGAGATGCATTTTAAATAAAAGCACACATTCTACTCCTGTAAAAACATGCTGATTCCCAGACCGTCTGTGGGCTGGATTTAGAAGGCAACTGGGCCAGATCCGGCCCCCAGGCCTTAGTTTGCCTACCCATGTTCTAAAAGATACATTCTTTAAAATACAAGTAAAAAAATACTTTCTTAAAGATACATTCTTGAAGTCATTCTTAAAGATACATTCTTTAAAAAGATAGAAATGAGGTAAAAAGATTCATTCTTGAAGTCAAAGGTACATTATTTCTCAGAAAACGACATTCCCTGATAGCATGCATATACTTACTCAGTACAGAATATAAAGCAAATACGAATATAGACAGTGTCATTCTTTAATTCCCCTTTCTGATCATGGTTTCTCTTATGACATCTGCATTAGAGGACTGGCGACAGACACCAACAGCAAGCCATTATCAGGAAGACGTTAGTGCACACAACCTCATGCCAATGTGGAAGTTACTGTCAGCTGTGTAATATGAGGCAATGCATGTTCTTTGTACTTTTGTCCATTTACTGTATTTATTTCCCCTGATTTGAACTATAAAATGGTACTTTTCTTGAGTCAAAATGAGAGTACCCCTGAACATTTTGTAGGGGGGGAAACCCACTGTATCTATCTGTTTAAATTGACATTTATTTATTTAAAAAGTTTTCATACCCTGTCCTTCCTTTCAGAGTGGAGCAGAGGCATGCTTGCAACACAACATATGGCATAAACGTTACAAAACAAAACAAATGAGAAATTATTGTTGGGAGTCAAGTCCATGGCACTCTAGGGAAATTAACTTTCCAGGGGGCACTCTTTATGTCACATGATTCATTCATCTCAGAATCTGGTGGATGTTCATGTCATAATCCCACCCCATATTTTTTTTTCCAGCCCAGCAAGAGCCCAGTTAAACATGCATGCAGTCCTGGTCAGCCTATGCAAGATCTTCTCGGAAGAAGCAGTTCACTTCCCTTGCAGAGCTGCGTTGCAATTGAGGAAACAGTTGCAGCATCTGCAGTCTATGCTCTGACTGCATCAGTCTAAGGCAGAAGAGGGAGCAATCACCCTGATCAGATTTGAGCACATTTTCATTCAAAGCAAGACAGAGCCTATTAAGGTAAGAACAAGAAGCACCATAAAATATCTGAAGGGCCATAGCACTCCTGCACCTTTAATAGTTGTATAGGAGAGGGCATTTCAATAGGCTACTTTGCATGGCAAGCTACTATTAAAGGTGCCAGAGCCAATGTCCTTTTTACCTGGCCATTCTAGTTCACAATATTAGCTCGTGTAATTTTCATCTCCTTCTCAACCAACAGCTACGAAAGTAAATATGAAGGCTGACAACTGATTAAGGATGTGTTAGATTCATCATATGCGAGATTTGGCTGCAGCGTGAAACATATTTTCTTTGTTTTGTTTATTAAAAAATAAACTATATATATATATATATATATATATATATATATATATATATATATATATTCCATTTTAATCTTCAAAGCGGAGGGGGTTGTCTCATTGTACAAGCAATCAGAAAATCAAATTGTTTGCCACAGAGATTTCAACAGTGCCAAAATAGTTGAGTTGAAACATCACTTCCAGTCTGCGGCATGGAAATATCCACTGCTGTTAGTGGGGAAGGAGCTGCAGTAGAAGTCCTTCCAAGACTAAACCTTGAAATCATGTTTTTTTTTAAAAAAAATAATAATTATATTAACAGCAGAATCCTGTGTATGCCTGCTCAAAAGTTCACCCCAAGAGCTCAACTGGACTTACTCTCAGCTTAGGTAAGCATGTATCAGATCTTGGAATCGGGATAAATTTGATTCAGTTCACACTTAAATGTGAACCAACCTAAGTCACCATTTCAAAAACAATCAAACCTTTGTTTAAAACTGCCGCTTTCCCCTCTCTCAATTTCTATCCATTCCTGCTTTACTAACACTTCTTCCTATGTTTTTAGCTATTCTTATTTTATCTGTAAGGCATCTTGAGTCTCTGATGGGGAAAAGGTTGGGTATAAATAACTAAATTAATAATAATAATAATAATAATAATAATAATAATAATAATAATAATATAATGTTATTGTTTAATGCTACAATTTCCCTGTCAGTGTCTTTCCCTACTCACTGAATTCTCCCCCCTCCATTCTTCAGTTGCCCCATGTGAGAGAGATAGTACCTCCACACAACGTATTTCACTTCTGACACCATGTGTTGTCTTCAGCATGATTGAATGTAGCAATTTAAAACAGATATTTCATTAACAAGTCAATGCCTGTTGCGTGTACAAAATCCATCAGCTTCTTTAACTGACAATATTGCTCTTAAGAGTCTATTCATCTTAAATATACAATGGTGTGCAGAACAGCCAGCAGGAGGCATGGAAATGAGGGAGATCAGTGTGCAAGGGGGACCTGAGAAAAAAGGGGGGAGGAATGGAAACATGGTGAAAATAAGGGGTGCAAAGGGAGGCTGTAGAAAAGAACTTAGGGGTGCATTGGGCTGCATAACGGGATGGCAGCCGGTGAAAAGAGATGCGATCATTTAGGCAGCTTCCTCAGAGTCAGCCCCATCAAGCTATATGGGACATATTTATTTCAGGATTCATTTATTTCATGAAACTTATACACTGCTTGATAGAAGAAGAAGAAGAAGAAGAAGAAGAAGAAGAAGAAGAAGAAGAAGAAGAAGAAGAAGAGAAAAAAACACCTAAAAGTGGTTTGCAGATAGATAATAAAATCGAGACAAATCTACAGCCATACTTTAAAGCATGCAAAAGTTAAACTACCGAAACAGATTAAAATGACCTCAACTTTATATTATTATATTTACTTATGATTAGGCATGTGAAAGGTTGCACAATTAAGATTATGCTTACCTTTCCATTGTCGCCAGTGGAATCCTCTTTCCTGAGGCTAATAGCCTCTCCAAGGAGAGATTGTTGTTGGGACTGTGGGATGGTGGTGATTCTAATCCTGCCCAACCCACCCTGTGGTGGTTGTAGACATTTTTAAAAACTGCACACAGTAATTGTTTTTATGCAATTAGCACAATGTGTCATTTGACACTTAAACATGCTTTGGCACGGTTGTGAATACTTCACGGTTGTGAATATTTGAATACCCTAAAAGCATCGGAAAGAATGCTTTTCAAACCTCCCTTATCTTGCCCAAAGTCTCTAGAATCAAGAATGATTTGCACTGAAAAATCCAAGCAGGATGGAATCCCAGCTGATGTGAAGGGAGTTTTATTCTGATTTTTGCAGGGTTCAGGTGTGGAAGATAATCTGTTTTACGACCTGTGGTTGTACGCTAAACTATATTATTACAGCTACAACTCTGGGGTGATAAGCCACCATTAGTCATACTAAGAGTAGACCAATTCAAATCAATGGACTTAACTAGTCTACTGATTTTAGTGGTTCTATGTGGGTTTGACTGACATTGGTCATTGGATATCTCCTTTTCTAAAGCATCTCTAATACAGTGGTACCTCAGGTTACATACGCTTCAGGTTACAGACTCCGCTAACCCAGAAATAGTACCTCGGGTTAAGAACTTTGCTTCAGGATGAGAACAGAAATCGTGCTCCGGTGGCGCGGCAGCAGCTGGAGGCCCCATTAGCTAAAGTGGTGCTTCAGGTTAAGAACAATTTCAGGTTAAGAACAGACCTCCGGAACGTATTTAAGTACTTAACCCGAGGTACCACTGTATAGGGCAGGGTTCCTATTTCTGTAGTTTGCTAGGCTTCTTCCAAGAACTTTTTCTGTATGGAAACAGTGTTTAACAATCACTTCCTGGGACGCAAATTTTTGCAGCCATTAGGAGATTCTTCATCGTCCTAATCGGAAATCATATGAATCAAATTCAGCAAAATCTCTTCTAGCAATGCGATCCTGTGCATGTCTACTCGGAAGTAATTCCAACTGAGTTCAGTGGGACTCCCTCCCAGGCAAGTGGGCAGCAGATGGCAGCCCTACAAACTGGAATTCCATGCATTACCTTGATTACAAAATCTCAATTGTTCGAAAATTTGAGGCAATGTAAAAGTCCATGTTGATCACAGCACACCTTTGCCCACCAAAATTATCAACCCTATAAACCCTGTCCTTTTCCTGTGGTCTCAGATACTACCTATGGATCAGAACCATCTACAGATCATCTTTAACATGACAATTTATCTTAGTACAGTGGTGCCTCGGGTTACATACGCTTCAGGTTACATACGCTTCAGGTTACAGACTCTGCTAACCCAGAAATAATACCTCGGGTTAAGAACTTTGCTTCAAGATTAGAACAGAAATCGCACGATGGTGTCGCAGCAGCAGCGGGAGGCCCCATTAGCTAAAGTGGTGCTTCAGGTTAAGAACAGTTTCAGGTTAAGAACAGACCTCTGGAACAAATTAAGTACGTAACCAGAGGTACCACTGTATTACATTCTCTTGGTGTTAAGGTATAACCAGGTAATCATAGTTCCTTAGCTGTGGCTGAAAATTGTTTAGTACTACGGCCTTCCTATAAACACCACTTGGGACAGGTTTTCTCTTGTCTTTTCTTGCGCATTACCCATTTGCGAAATCCCAGCAATCTGTCTTCAGCATTAAGTCCCATCTGAAGCATCCTTAGATGCAGGCCAATGAAATAATCATAGAATTGCAGACTTGGGAAGGAATGCCAAGGCTCATCTGGTCCAACCAACTGCAGTGCAGGAATCTCAGCTAGATCATGCATGATAATGACTGGCTCCGAATAACTATTTAACAGTAGATGCTTGTGACAGGCTGGAGATGGGGGTGTACCTTTTTGAGAACCGAAGGTAGCTTGAAAGAAACAGGATATTGTATTGTGGCTTGTGGCGTTTGTATACTCTTCCACTTTTTGTATCACTTATTTTAATAAAAACCGATAAATGAGCCCACCACGGGAAGTGAAGCTTTCAATCTCTTGTAACAACTGACTTCTCCAAACAGCAGTCATGATTGAGCTGTTGCTGGCAATCTATCAGTTCCATCAAAGGGCCTCCAGCCCCTTTCTTTTGCTGTCAAGAAAGATCCAGCAGCCATCGTAGTCAGAGAGATGGTCTTTTGCTTAGCTGTGCAATTAATGGGTGAAGTGGAGAAAGCGTGATTGCTGTGACACGGTTCCCTGTCCTCAAAAGGCTGATAAAAGGACTGACTTGGGGGTGAAGAAGGAAGCCTTTTCTCTGAATCTAGAGAAGGTGTAGCCTTGTTGTTGTTAGACCAGAGCTCCCATCACCCCCGAACCTGATGGTTGGATCTGATGGGAGCCCAACAACATCTGCAGGTTCCCATGTTGGCCTGACCTATAGGATCTCTACCCATAGTAAGCTGCCTTACAGGCCCAGTCTCACTCTTATCTACACTGGTTGGCAGTAGGCTTGCCCAGTTGTTGCTGTTTAGTCGTTTAGTCATGTCCAACTCTTCGTGACCCCATGGACCAGAGCACGCCAGGCACTCCTGTCTTCCACTGCCTCCCGTACTTTGGTCAAACTCATGCTGGTAGCTTCGAGAACACTGTCCAACCATCTCGTCCTCGTCCTCTGTTGTCCCCTTCTCCTTGTGCCCTCCATCTTTCCCAACATCAGGGTCTTTTCCAGGGAGTCTTCTCTTCTCATGAGGTGGCCAAAGTCTTGGAGCCTCAGCTTCAGGATCTGTCCTTCCAGTGAGCACTCAGGGCTGATTTCCTTCAGAATGGATAGGTTTGAGCTTCTTGCAGTCCATGGGACTCTCAAGAGTTTCCTCCAGCACCATAATTCCAAAGCATCAATTCTTCGGCGATCAGCCTTCTTTATGGTCCAGCTTTCACTTCCATAGGCTTGCGCTATGTCACAAAAATTCATGACATGTCCTGGTTTTTGGGTGTAAAAATGATGTCGGGAAGGAATTTTGCCGAACTGGCAAAATGTCAGGGAAAACCCAGATGTATGGCAATGTGCTGGAAAAAAAGCAGCTCCAAAAGCTTAAAATCACCCAATAATTTGGGTTTGTTCCCAAATGAAGCTCAACAGTTTGGGTAGGTTTATTAAAAAATACCTTCAACAATTTTGGTGGTTGGCAGTGTCAGAAATTTTACTTTTTGAAATTTGGCAG